TTTCCCCCCCCCCCCCCCCCTGTATATTGTAGTCTTGTACTGCTGTGCATTGAATACATATCTTCATTTTCCCTGAAAGCTCTCACTGTACAAGGTGCGGGATGATAGGTGCCGTTTCGAATTGCACCGCACGAAACCATTGTAGCGTGTCATCATGTCTCGCTCCCCCCGTGTATGCCTTGAAGCTTGCCGGAGAGCAGCATGCACAGCAGCAAACGACTTTGAACTATCTAGCAGAGATTATGATGCAGCGGGTAATCAACGGGGGGCAAGAGCCCCAAACTTGGGCAGAGTCAATTCAGGTCAGTAACAATCGCTTCATCCCTCATGCCTCTGCATGCAGATGTCATCGATACATTTGCAAAGCCGTGGATCGCCTCATGTCGGCAACGGTCTCGCAGAAAATGATTAGAGTTCGTGCCAGTTGTGCTTCATTTATGTAATCTCCGCTTGTGGATAAACCAGGCGTATGAGCGAGGCAAGACACATCTGCCATGGAACCCAGCGGATGTCCCACCTCCGACATACGTGAAGCAATTCGATGTGTCGCGAAAGAGTAGGGAGATGGACCCGGTGCTCATGCGATATAGGTGCGAGAGCTGTAGAGTTCACAGCACATCATGATGCCCGTATTGCAGTATGATGGCACTGGTGTGGTCCTCCGCAAAAACCGTAGGCATATCAAACACGCCAAGTTGCTTAGATATCGTTGGGGCAGGTGAATTTGGGTTGCACAGTTGCGCTTGGTGGACACTTATCAAGCCACGTGAGTTGCCTTTGTACAAGCATGTCACACTAGTTTGCATGTTGTTCGGTGGGACCGGGCTGAGAAGAACCACCAACAACTACATCCAAACGATACCGTCAGGTCGATACACTCGAGTCACGGCTTACCCATGGGAATAGAAACACGTGGAGGGCAATATCAATATTTATTTACCCTTTTCGATAGGTTTCCTCCTGTTGGAGTAGGAGAACTGCGTGTAACATGCAGCTGTTCGACTTGCTGCCGCACGTCACCCGTGCCACTGGACTGGTTTCGTTACAGGAATCCAGATGTTGAGGGAAAAAGGAAGATGCGAGAGGAGGAGCGCCTGCAAACTGCTCTAAACAACGCCAAGAGCCGGCAGTTGAGAGTCGAACAGAGCTACGACATTGTGAACCACTCTTCGTTCCTGTCAGCGAAAGAGGCGAGTTTTTCGCATGATACATGGTATTGTACCAGGCATGCTATTTTGAGAATACATACATTCATTGGTCGTGGCAACTAGGGCTGGATCACCGACATCTTGCGAACATTCAACTGCTCGGCATACTTTCACAGACGCAGCCGCACCGCTCCATTGTCGGCGGCACCGACGTCACACTTGTACACGACGGCAGCGTGCGCATGAAAACGAAACCTAAGGACGCTTACCACCCGAGAGAAAGCCCACCCCTTGACGTGGTGCGAAGTGGCAAGGCCTTGCAAAAGTACCGAACTGAGATTTCAACATCGCAAACCCGTTGCTTCACCTGCACATGTACCAGGAGCCCGCCCCAAGACCCAGCCGCCATCCTGACACGAGGACTTCCTACGATATCCTTAACCACGTTCCAAAGGAGAAGGCCCACTCTGTGGCACTAATTTACCCCAACGACAAAGGGCCGGAGGTGCTGCCCCAGAAAGTGGTGACGGTGGAGGGGGGAAAGAAGCCCCACAGTCATCTGAGACGAGACGTGGACGTCTTGAGCAACAGGTGCGTTCATTTTCCTGTGTGGTAGCGATCTCCTTACAAATTGAGAAGTGCGCGGGACTGATTCAACACCGCGCATGATTGGGTGACCCAGTGGCCTTGCGAAACGCATGGGTTTTCATTTCACACCTCGTCACGGCGTTCGACGGTCGATCTCGCGCAGGTTCTTGGAGAAGCATGAAGAGCGCATGACCGAAGAGAAGCGTTTCCTCCGAGAGAGAGCGGAGGAAAAGTACCGACGCACGCACGACTACAACATCATCGCGGGAGCTTACTACGACCAGGACAAGGAGCGAGAATTCGTCAATTCGAGGGAAAAGCTCTTGACCATGCAGGGGCGAGCGCAGCAGTACCGGTTGCCGCCTAGCATACGGTATGGCGAAGGGAACGGCTACAACATCATCAATCAGCAGGTGCTCGAATATCTCTCCTCTTTACCATTTCTTTTGATTCTTGCAGACCGAAGAGAATTTGGGCATTGGACTGGCTCATCATTTTGCTCCCTGTTGCTATGCGTTAGACATTCGAAAACACGATCCTCGGTGTGACAAGGTTGAGTCAATCCACCGACGTGGAAAAGGCGCAGAACAATCCACCGACGAATGGGTTCGCGTTACTCTGCCGGGGCAAGTAAACACGGATTGATGTCTGCGTCTTCACAGCCAGTCGAACGGCTAATGAAATCAGCCTGTACGTGGAGTTTCGTAGGCGACCGACGAGAGTGATCACCCTCCTTCGCGCAACAACAGAATGCGTTATTCGATAAAGGCTGACCATTTGACTACATGCACAGTCATCGATGGCTTATCTAATGGTATAGCATTTGGAAACAAAAGATACACTCTCGGCTCCTAGCCACCCGGCTGGTCACTGGGATGTTGAAGTAGAGATCTCTACTCACGAACCCAAAAGTGTGATCCAGCCGGGTGCAAATGAGCTCTGAGCATATATTTTACTTGGTAAAGGCTGACCATCTGACTCATGTAAAGTCATCGATGACTGTGCATGTAGTCAAATGGTCAGTCTTTATTGATTAAAGGATTCACGCAAGGATTTAGCACCTTTGGCTAATAGCAGCACCTTGTGGCGAGGGGTCCGTCCCCGGAGAACACTACACCCTATCAGATCCACTGGGATTGGCTACGAGCCGAGAGTGTATCTTTTATTTGACAAAGGCTGACCATTTGACTACGTGCACAGTCATCAACTACGTGCACAGTCATCGATGACTGTGCACGTAGTCAAATGGTCAGCCTTTATCGAATGTACGTATCGCCGTCAAGACTGAGAAGCCGAACACAACACGTTCTTCAGTGTACACCACTGAACTGTCGAACTTTAGTGTACACCACTGAACTGTCAAACATGTTATGGCCGTCGCATGGTTCGAGCCTGCCGTTTCCGACATCGTCCCCCGCAAGCACACCCAAGCACACCGAACAGCCCCCTCCCTCGCCCCCCCCCTCGATGACGCCAACAAGCAGCCAAAGACAACTGTCGTGGACATGACATCAGCATCCGTGCAGGACCGTGGACTCTCCAAGCGAACGCGCGGCCGCCAAACCTACGAGGACAACATTCGCCAGCACGAGCGCGCCGCCGCAGCAAGCGAGCAACAAATCCTCAACCGCCCTTCCCACATGCGGCACGTCGAGGTGCTCCGGACTGGGCACAACGTTATCTCCAACCAAGATTTCGCGGGGCGCGAGGGAAAGCCACCCCCGCAGCCGCGCGCGAAGCCACCGATGCCTGTCTGGGACAGACTTAAGGGGGAGCACGGGATGCCGGAAGCGGCAGCGTTAGGGTCGAGGCCGACGGCGGAGACCAACGACGGAGGCCAACAGCATGGAAATGTGACCGGACTTGGACAGACGGACTCGAGAAACGCGGATGGTAGCAGTGGCAGGTGTGGGGGGCAAGCACCTGCTTCTCCCGGTGGGGTTCCAGGAAACGAGCGACGAAGCAGTCGTCGTGAGGCGCCTCCGCTCCTGCGAGAAGGAAGCAGCGACAATCGGGGACGGATCGACGATCATGGCGGGGAGACCAACCGCGGCATGAAAGGAAGGATGTCGGCGGAGGTTGCAATGCCAAGCACGAAGGCTGCCGTGCCTCCGTTGAATCTTTCTCGCTCTTGACTTCGACTAGGCCGTATTCAATCTTTACGCCGAGTGCTGGTGATGGTTTGGTTCGAGATGCATGCGACAAGTGGGATTGGTGTATAACCGGACACGTGTGCGGGTCATGTCCTGCGAATATTACAAACGCGGTTTCGTCCATGATTACGGCTCATCTGATTTGTCCCCTGGCGTCCATGCAAGAAAAAAAATTGCAACGATCATTGCGAAGAACAGAGCCACAATTCCGCCTGACCAAACATTCCGCCGTCTCGGTTCAAGCACAGAAAGAGCGTGAGCGAGGCGCATTTCTCGACAGCCCAACAGCGTGGAGGTTTTGTTCGTTCAAAATAATGCATGTGCTGTTGGAGGGCGATTCTTCGTGATCCCGTGTTGTAAGGCAAATCAATCGTCAACGTGTCTTGTCGGCGAAACGGACCCCTCCCCAAGTGCGGGGTGCTCGTATTCCACCCTGCGAAACCTAAACACCAACAAAATGGAAGGTCAGTAGAAATCGACGCCGCACGTGCTCGGCGCCAGCCTACACCTTTCGGTTCATGTATGACGCACAAGCGGGGGCGAATTCTTCAACCTTCTTCTGCGGCGCTTGCCTTCCATCTTGGAAAGGTTCACCAGTCCCAATGCCCATTCACTTGTAAATGTCGACGTTTTTTTCACTCTCGACAGCATCGCACCCACACCCCGGTAGCCAAAGGCTACTCGAGGATACCAACTGAACCACCTCAGTTGAAGACCGAGAACAAAGTTCTTCGACACGTTCGAGCTGTCAATTCAAGGAGAGCTTTCATACACAACAATCTGACCCATCCAGCCCATCGAAATCACATCCACTGACTGAGGAACCTCGGGGCGATCTAGCAAACGTAAATTACAATATTCAATCCCTCATGTTTTCTTCACCGACATCACGGCACCAATATATCGCTCCGTTCATGGAACGGGCGCGGGGAGTGCCCTTCCACCAAAACGATGTATCTGCAAGTGGACAAAAACAACGGTTTCTCAGACCCTATAACACGATTAACTCCAACAATTGAAAATCACAGAGCAAGAACCAAACATGAAGGAAAAACGTTCAGAAACCACGAAACAGTCCACTGCGACCCACACACGAAATAGAAAAGCAGGTAGTTTATATCAGCTTGTCAACCTGCGTCGGCACATAGAAATACATCTGCCCCAAGCGTACCGATCAACACCGCCTTCGCTTGTCGGTCCTTCCGTGCCCGGCGCTGGTTTCTCCTCTTTTCCGTGTTCTTCTTCCTCTAAACAGCATCATAATAGTGGGTCAACCACATACGGCCCTCCTGGGCCCGTACGTTCGTCGCCCATAATCCTTTCTGCTGCCCTCTTGAATGTATGTACTACTACAACCCCGCCAGCGCTATCGTTGACTCGGCCTTCCGCTCACAACTGCCACAACCTCCTCACGACGTCCGGCAGCTCAGAACGGGAAAAGCACGCTTGCCCCCGCCCGCCCTTTCGCTTCTTCTTCGCTGTCACTCCTCCGCCACCGCTGTCGCTGCTAACCGCTCCGTCGCTGTCTTCGGGGGACGGCACGGTCTCGAGGAGGACGAAGTGGCTGGGCTCTCGCTTGAGAACGACGAAGCGCTCGTCCTCTTCGTCGTCGCTGTCTGTTACCGTGCGGGCCAGCACCCGGTACGGCCAGGCACGCTTCTCTCGCTCCTTCATCAGGCACGGGAGGGCGGGGCGGGGCGAGTGAGGTATCGAGAGAAAAAAAAAAAACAAGAAGGCGTGGAAGAAAGTGACGGGCAAACCTACGCTGTAGTCATGAATTTGTTTGTATTCGGGGGCGGACGACCAGGCAACGCCGATGTGCGCTTAGTCGCATCTATTGGGAGCAGAGAAAGCACAACCATACTCCAAAAGCCAGCATGGATACAGCGGTTTCCTGGAATACATGTACGAGGCATTGATTTCTCCATGCGACACTGTCGACGGAATCAACTCAACCCGGATCCACATCCACATCCACATCAATTTAAGCAGTCGACGTCAACGAACTACCCCAGCAGCATCGTTTCTGAAAAGCTATGCGGGTGCCGCACCACAAAGTAAGCCCCTTCACCTCCAATCGTCCAAGCATGCTTCCTGCAGCACACACGCGATGCTATCCCCGCCGGTGGTACGTCGCGCTTTAGCTTACCATGTCGACGAAGAGGATGGTAATCTTCAGCCTTCGGGACACCACGTGATGCGCGTGCGTGTCGGCCCACATGCAGTTGCCGTGCCCCACGTCCGAGCCCTCGAGCCGCACGAACCGACGGAGCTCTTCCACCGTCTCCACCACCGGCAACCCCTCGTTCTGCTCCTCTACCTCGTTCTCCCACCTCCAACCCACCGCCTCCGTCCTTTCCCGTCCCCCCCC